CACACCAAAAATAGTGCCGACAGAAACATAAATCCTCAAACACATCTTTTAGGCATTTGTACAATCTTGTTGTACAATCTAAGCCCTAAACTCGTCTTAGGACTCCGAAGTAGTTGTTTGTTACGACTTAAATCCTCACATCTTCAAGGTTATTTGTGCTGATTGCTTCACACAAATGTAAATCCTAATAAATAAAAAATTGCAGGATGAAACATCTAAATGATTTCTCCTAAATTGAAGCCAAATAATAGGATAACTTAGGAAGTCACCGAAGTTTTTCTTCGATTCTGTGACATCCTCTAGTGTTTCCTCCTTTGGACTCCAAAACAAAATGTTTCAAATTTGAACCAATCCCCTTTCACACTTCTTAGTCCGATATCTTTGAGATGTCTTTACCATTTGAACTCCTTGAAGATAATTTTTCTTGATTTTTATCGAGAGTATTCTCAGGTAACTTCAGTTATCTAAGATGTAATTAACTATAGGGGCTTACCCTTATAGGAAGCTTTTCCCGAACCCAGCATAATATAAACCCTATTTAATTCTTTATATTAAATAGGAGAATTTATCGGCCAATACATTGGTTTCGCAGACCAAACAGATGTCATAACTTTCTCTAGTTTATTTGATCGAGCCTCACCCTCAATTCTTGTGTTCATCCTTCGGGATAGATACAAGATTTGAGGTAAAACGCTCTTTCATCTAAACTATGAAAATTATGGGGTCAGTTTGACTTCATCTTTTTCAAAAATAAAATTAAAAAAAAAAAAAAAACGTTCTTCCGAAGCGGGCAACGGGGTTTCAATTCCGATGACCGACAGCTTCTTACGGGCAAACCCCACACCAAAAATAGTGCCGACATGACTATTCAAATTGAAATTCGTGGTTGACTTAGGGTTGATAGAATTAAAATGCTGGCATATTCTATTGCTATGACATAACTATCAATAAGTTTAAATAACTTAGCTAAAGCCCTAAGTAGTGCAAACTAATAACATTTGTAAGAAGTCCATCATGTAAATCTTGAGTGAGGGCCTCTCTTGCCGTAGCTATCTCCATATCCTTGATATTCAACTCCTCTTAAGGTAACTAATATGTTTAATAACACATGGAAGATCTTTAAGGGCTTATAAGATATGACAAATTGAGCGATAAATTATCATTTGAAATCAACTAATGAGATGATGCTCCTAAGTGAAATATGAAAGAATCAACTAAGTGGTGACTTTTTTAAATTTACTAAAAAAGTATACACCTTACAACACTATAGAAACTCACTAGATAAGTCATCAATTCAAAGCACATGAATTTGCCTTCCTCTTATATGAATCTGTGTCTAGAATTTCAAAGTGAGATGAGCAACCCAACTTAATCCCTCGAGAAAATGCATTCATTATTATGATATTTTTTTCTCTTCTCTTTTCGTTGAAGTCATCTTTGCACTACTTTTAGGGAGATGAGCCTTATCAATTATTAGACTTGAAGTTAGTTCCCCCAAAACACTTGGTGGTTCTTAACTAACAACATAATTTAAATATCCATCCTCAACAACTTCTACTCCTATAAGGATTTTGTAAACTTTCTAGAACATAATGGCAAAACCTTCCATTCAGTTAAGAAGCTGATTAGTAAAAACATTTTGATTTATAATTTGAACAGAACATCATATTGTGAAGCTTGTTTTCGATCTCAGACAATTTTTCCACCCATTGGACTTCAAAAAATGTTGAATTCAAATTATATGTGAATCAAACTAAGAAATTTATGGAAAAATGGGGCTAAATATTAGAAGAAGAATTAAAGAAAGGAAACACAAGTGAATATCTCTAGATTTTATTAATTGCGAGAAGTAAAAGGCTTCAAAATTTTAATGAATGTATTTAAACATTTTCTCTAATCTTTATTCATAGTTGTAAACCGTGATGCCCATTAAAAGAAAGTTACATTTTGGCACGTTTTGGGTAGCTTATTTGGTGCGGTGAGTAACTGTGTTTTAATAAGTTTTTCAAAAAATCGTATTTTCAAACTGCTGAAATCAACATGTTCACATGGTTTCTAACTAGATGTGATGACAATTTTCTAGTTGCGATTGATTTAAAAGAAATAAAAATATATAATAATAATTACAATTGTTTAATAAATAAATTATTCGTCAATAATTTATCAACAACTTATTAATAAATTATAAGAAACATAATTTAAAAAAATACAATTAAATTACATGACAAGAATGCATAAAATGTTTGCTATAAAATGAACTTAATTTATAAACCAACGTCTCCCTGTCCGCAAAATAGTTCGCGAGTAGCTCGCGGAAAAGGCTTAAAAAAAAAAAAAAAAAAAAAAAAAAAAAAAACCGTGGTTGATGTCTTTCCGGTCTTCTTTTCTCCAGTCAGAAGTCGCTCCATGCAATCTACTCTTCTATTATAGAGAGAGGGGAGGGGGGAAGGGAGGGAGCTGAGCTTCTACTCAGCTGAGGACCCTTAGCCTTGAAGAATTGAGGGAGGAGGGAGGAGTGAGGCGGGGGGAGCAATGCCACTGTGAGCGGATATGATTTAGATGTTGGATGTCGATGGAAGGTGATACAAAGGCGCCGGAGTTCAGCCGGCAGGGATCGACGCGATCAGGGCCTCCTCCATCATTTAGGGTTGCCGTCGGAAGATCCGGCGTGTAAAGCCGGGAAATCGGGTACCGTGTCATGGTTCGAGGGAGATGGGTTGTTAGGGGAGCTACGACGGCGTTCCTTCCTTCTGCATTGCATGGGTTTCTGGTAATCGTTGGCTTTCGAGCGATTTGGTGCGGCCTCTCAATCGGTTGCTAGGTAATCGACTTCTTGTTTGTGGGTTTGGTTTCTGCATTAAAATTTGAAATGGAAGTTAGATCTTGGAGTCTTTTTGTAGATCTAGAATGATATACGGTTCATGTGGTCGGATTCTGCTTGTAGATAGTTATGCTAGTTTCTTTCTTTGTCGGGATTTGTATTGATATCGAAGGGAACCTGTGTTTGTATCTTTCAGGGTTTGAGGGTTCTGTGTTTTGGAAAATTGAAGGAGGATTCATGCCTTCGTTGACTGATAGCCTTGGAGAGAGACATTTACGGTAGCGGCTAGAGAAGATGAACTCCAGTGTTCCTCTCGATTGTGCTTTTTTTGAACTCTCCCCAAGACGGACAAGGTGTTTTGGCGATTGAAAGTGAAATTTGGGTTCCTATATATCTCTTTAGTCGTTGCCATTTAGTGAGAATTTTGTTTTTTTTTAATTCCTTTTGTTGGCTATTCTTTTCAGGTGTGAGTTGTTCGTTTCAGAAGACGGCAAGACTGAGAAACTTGCATCCGGTTTCTTGAAACCATTTTTGACCCATCTGAAGGTCGCTGAAGAACAGGCTTGTCGTGACGTTCCCTTGATCAATCTAGAAGTTGGAAGAAGGAAAAATGCTGCCACTTGGTTCAATAAAGGAACCGTTGAGAGGTGTAATGATAAATTCAACATGTACCTCGTGTAGTTGAAACAACTAAATTGGTTACTTTTAAAGTACGTTTTATATTAGTTTAGCAGTGAAGAGTATGAATGATTCAATTTAGTTCATTTATAGGTTTGTTCGGTTTGTTAGTACACCAGAGGTGTTGGAGCTGGTCAATACACTCGATGCAGAAATGTCACAATTAGAGGGAGCTAGGAAGATGTATTCTCAGGTATGAACATATGCTATATTCTTGATTCAACTCTCGGTTAAGATTGATTTATTAAAATTGATTGTTTAAACACTTTCTGAAAGTGCCTTTTCTTTTCAGGGAGCAAGAGACCAGCTCTTCGGTATGTGTCATAAGTTCTAATTTATGTGCCTTGATATTGATACGTTCAGCTGAAAGAATTATACTTTACAAGTTTTTAGCTTGCCATATTGCATTCTGCTCAAGCTTTGCTATTAATCAAATCTTAAAATTCACCTTCCAAATGTTGCTTTGCTATTTATATATCCATATATTTAGATTAGTTTTTGCTGTTAGTAAAATCACGTAAAATCTACATGAAAATTAAATGATAACCCTTTGTTTGCATCTTTGAATAATGGCATTTTGTTAAATCGCGAGAAGACTGATACTGTTTTAATTAGTACATGCCAGAGCTACCTAAACATTCTTTTGCTTTGAACTGTTACTTCGTGGGAACAATTTGACTTAACAAAGCCATAAATTTATTCATAAATACATTCAATATTCATACCATTTGGATAACTTTTGTTTGAAGAAGTTTTCTATGCCTCAAACATGGAACTTTTACTTGAATCAGCCATGTATGTGTGGTTGGTTGGTTATAAGAAAAAATTCATGTACTATCTTATAAATATATAGTTGAAATCTTTTCAACTCTTTTCCCCCTCTTCAAAATATATTAGAATTTTGTCATCCTACATTTGCCATATCCTGCCACTTTACCTATTATTTATATGAATGATTTGCAAAAATAATTTGTGGAAGTTTTCTAGTAATTATAGCAATTACCACCATACACTTAATGTTTATAAAAGTTGTATGAATTTTAAAAGATGTAATAAGGTCATGGTTGGTTTAATCGAGAAAGATGTTTCAGTAAACCGTAAAAAATTCATAACAAGAAAATAGTTTCATAAAAAATTATTCATTGGATCATGACAAATGCAGATAAATTAAAATTTTAAAAAGTTCATTCATTATTTCAAATTTCAATGAATACAATCTGCTTCATTCCCTGATTCATTAACTAGTATTGTGAATTCTTATATATATCTTTTTCACTTCACCCTCAAGTTTGGCGCTAATATATCATCAACCTGTATCTCTAGAACCGCACCAATCTAATTCTTAAAACTATTATTTCTGATAAAATTGTGTCCATTATTTCTAGTGGATGCTATAGGTAGTGAATGACAAATATAGTTCAAAGATTCATGGTTTTTATCAGAATATGTTCAATAACAACGCTTAGATTTGTCAGGAAAATTATCAATTAAACAAGTCATTAGAATTTTTTTTTTCAAGCGCGAAAGAACTAACACAGCGCTCCCTAATCCCCGTTTATACACCTAGCTTTTATTCTATTGCTTCTCATTTCTTTGGCTTCTATTGCATGCAATTCCTTGCAGCTTGTTAAATCTCCGACTTGTAATTCTTGTGATTCTTTTACTTATGCTCTTTATTCCTTGCAATTTTTGCGGCTTTTCTGCTCGGGCTTTTTGTTGGCTTGTATTCAGCTTCTTTTATGATTATATTCTATAAATTCTAACTCATATTATTGTTTGCTACATTGGGAGTTTAAATAGAAGTTTCAAGGCACGCATAAAAATAATTCTATTGCATAAATGAAGTCTCTTTTTGGTGTGAAAATATTCTCTGTATTCAAATATTTTAATCATTGATTATGAAATTCAATTATTACTCAGGAGGTGTTTTTTTTATTCAAGCAAGAGACTTCCCTACCCGTTAGTTCTTTCATGTTCTCATTTCTCTCTCTCCCTCTCTTTCTCCACATTCCTTCTTTTGCTAGTGGATTGTGTAGTTTTTTTTTTTTCCAATACATTACATTCTGATTTCTTTTTTACACGGTTTCAATCATTGGTGTGATGCTTGTGATTTTTTAAATTTTGTTGTTGTTATTGTTATTTATATTAGAAAGCCAAGGTCACTTATTTGAATCAGATTTTTAATTTTTTTCTGTCAAAATTAGTGAATTGTTTTTTGAGATTAAAAGTTTGCTTTCCGCCAAAATTCATATGTTTTTTGTATAAATTTATTATTTTTAATTTCGCATCTTATGTTAGATTTGTGTTAGAAACCCCTTAAAATCCAAAACTTGAGAGAATATCTCACATAGTTTCTTAAATACTTAAACTGATAATGAATAAATGTCTAATAATTTTGTTACTAGTGATGCATGTAAATCTTGAAGCATTATGATTGATCCCTATCAAGTTTAGAAAGAAAGACAAATGGCTCTAGAATAACCCAATACACTTTAACATCGGACAATTCAAATCTCCTTCCACTTTCACCAAAGCATCTTGATTATCACCTCAGCTCAGGTTCATAAAGCATCTTGATGGATCACCTTAGCCCCCCACCCCTCCATTTTTTATTCATTTCTATATGCCATGGATGACCTAAATTCTGTGAAGTACTTGACTGATTTGTTGCCAGAACCGTTACCTGTTTTTACCTCCAAGCTAATTTGTTTTGGTAACAGAGAACTACCACGCATTACTTGCTGCGGATTCACCATTCAACTCACTCTTTTAATTACACATTGTCCAGGTGAAAGTGAAACAAAATCTGCTGCAGCTGTAGATGCGACTAAGTAAGTTTCTGGTCTCTCTTAGCTCATTAAATTAGTAACAGGGCTTATGCCTAGTTATAAATCTTTGTTTGGTTTATCTGGTTGATACACTTCAGGTGAACTTGTACCATCTGGAATGCTCGTGTAGCCTGATATTAATGCTTAAAATGAATTCCACTTACCTAATTTAGTTAGTTGGGATGCAATGCTTCTGGCTGGTGTTGATAAATAGAGATGTACAAATTTAAATCTAACAGCTTTTTCCAAACTAAAGGCCTGTACTGATATAATTGAAATTATTTTATATAATACCAGAGTGAATCTATCATTTTTACCTTATTCCACTAATTTGGCATTGGCTTTTCGCATGGATTAATCAATTCTATATGCTGACCCTTCATTAACATGCTATTTAAAGGTCAAACGGTAACATGTGACTTATTGATTCTCATTGATCAAAGGTTATTAACAATAACACAGTAACGGCAGTGACTTTCTTAGTTGTGTTCTTAAAATGCTAATAAAATTTCTTGTAAAAAATATTTGAATATAATAGAATAAACACATGATACATGTTTACATGATTTGGTAGAATGCACTTATGCTTCCACAAAATGATCAAATATTCCACTAAGCTTCAAGAGAGAAGTATTAGGTATTTTCAAGGATTTCCCTTGACATAAAGTTAGAGAGAAGGATAGGATATCACTTTATTTATGTTAATGATTGAGAAGAATTGCAACTGTTTAGTACAAAAATGAAGGCTAGATGTGGAGAAAAGATGTTGAGATACTTGGAGTTTAACATCAAATGTTGAGACACTTAATGTCTGCCATCAAGTGTTTCTTAGGGTGCGTTTGGAACAGCTTTTTCGCCTGAGTTCGAAACTGAACCGTGTTTTTTACTGTTTTAATAGTGTGTTTGGGCTACTGGTATTCCAAATTGCAGTGGGTTTTATTAAAAATGTAAACATATCGCTGAGCCCGCGTTGCTCGTTCAAAATTTTTAATTGCCACATTTACCCAGGCGAATTGTATTAGTAGATTTGTTGTCGAGAAAACACTGTAGCTTCTGAGCGTGTGTCAGAAACTTGATCCACCGACAGCGTGTCACAATTGTATTAGTCCTGATAATAGCACCATAAATCTTGATTTGCTCACTAGCAAATTAATTCAATTCTTAAAATATTTTTACACACTGTGTTTTCTCACGCAAGTATACGTATCGTTTCAGTAATATATGACTCTAAAAGAGTCCAAGATGCTGAACCCACATGGATCAAATGAAATCGAAAATAGGACAATGTTCTTGTCTACGGAATTCGTTCTTAGTTTGGAATTTTGAATTACTTTAGTTATGCTATCGATCCTGCCGTAATAATCTAAAATTATTTCTATAAAAATTCTAAGTATGCTATAAAAATTTGTTTTTACCAAGTGCTAAGAGTGCTATTCCTTGTGGTGATTATAATATAATGTAGATGTGGAGGAAATGCGAAATAAAGTAAAGCATGTGACAAATAGGAGCATAAATCTTGTTTACCCTCTTACGAGCATGTAAATAAGTTAGGATTAACTTAGTAATTGGTCTAAACTGTCGCCCTAGAAATGTCCAAGTTATCCACTAACTCATCTCCCTAACCTTTGCATATCCCTATAAAGTACTTTGATTCATACATTATAATTCAATGTGATTTCCTTAGTTGTTTATGTCATAACTCTTCCGAGTTTTTTATGGTTGAACAACATATTTTAACAAATTAATTTGACCATATTGATAAGTAAATTAAGTTCAAAAGGAAACCATCACAAATATAGATAAAAAACAATTTCACATTCAATCTAACAATCCTACATGTCTACTATAATATCACAAAGAAAAACAAGGGATTCTACTCAAAATTCATGGATAAAACATAACATGCATGCCTTGAATTAAAGAGCTTCAACATACAAGAGTATACAAACAAATAGCACAAAGAAACTTATCTCTCTACCTCAATCCTCTTGAGAATGCTTTACCCAATTATTTTACTCCTCTCCTGCAACTCTTTACACAATATTAAATACAAATCACAGTACTCACACCCTAAACTTGCATAGAACAAGCTTAAGAACTCTCACATTAATGGAGGAAAATCTCTCTCAATCCTCCCTCTCTAATCCAAGTGTTGCTCCAGAGTTCTTCCTCCTTTTCCTTGGGCGTCTCTCTCTATTTTCTCTTGTAATTGCTCTTTAATAACTCCCAAAAACAGTCTTGATTCGCCCAAAAACCGTTTCAAAGTGATGACTGAAAATGCTCAAAACCGTGCAAAAATCGGTACTGGCGCCCAGGCGTCGCGATATCTGGCGCCATAGCCTTGGCCTTCAAAATTGGGGCCTTGGCGCTCAGTGTTGGCGCCTAAGCGCCAACCTCTCGGGTTGCTCTTTGGTGTTTGGCGCATAGGCGCCGCTCTGATCTAGCGCCATAGCCTTGCCTTTAATGGACTGGCGTCTAGGCGCTCTGCTTTTGGCGCCATGACCTTGGCTTTGGTGGACTAGGCACTATGGTTCTGGCGCCATGACCTTGTCTTAACAAAATCTACTTTTTCTCCGAATCTTTTCCTTTTCGCTCTATTTTCCTTTCACTTCATTTCAGTACTAATACCTGTTAAACCTACAAGAAAAAAATAAAAAAAATATTTTTCTTTAAAGTGCAATTTAATTCAAAAAGATGTGCAAAATATAAAGAATTTAATGCAATTTTTTCACATATCAAACCACCCCCAACATCTACACACACCACCACCATCACCATCACACCATAACCTCCACTAAAACCCATTAATCACAACAAAATGAGAAAGTGAGCAACATCACCACACCATTTCTACCACACCACAACCGTCACATAAACACCACAACAACCCATAAATGACTACATAATGTGAAAGGGAGCACCACCACCATCACAACACCACCACCGCCACTACCATCACACGATAACCACCACACCATAACCACCACAGCAACTCTTAAACCACAACATATGAGAGAGCAACACCACCACACAATTTCCACCACACCACTACTATGCATACAAAAAAAAACACGCGATCAGTTACCAGACACCCCATTGGTTTTAAAAAGGTGATCATCTTCCTCCATCAGATCACAAATCACATTAGACAAGTTAACCTCAAACTCAAGTAACATTCACTAACTGAATTGAGCAAAGGCAACGAGAACTCAAAATCGCCGTGGGAAAAGAGAACCCAAAAATCCATTTTTGCAGACAAAGATCAAAAAGTGCTAAGAGACTAGAAGTCATAAAAGAATAAGGATATTCCAAATCCTTCTATTATAACCGCAAACCCCATACACCAAGGAGAGCACATACCGATTTCTCCAAAATTCACAAAAAAAAAAAATTGACTTCCACAAATTCACAAGAAAAACAAACTCCGTTCTTCCAACAACAATTTAGAAATAGTAAAGAGACAAAAAAAACCAAGTTGCTTACAGACACGGAGAAAACGAAACAGGGAACTTCCGAATCCATCTATTCCAACAACGAACTGCAGAGAGCAAAGAAACCACAAACCAGAGAAGAACAATAAATCACAAATCGAGAAGAGCAAAAGGGCTGCATACCAGGAACTACGGCAACAAAACGACCACATACCACATACCACATACCACATACCACAAACCACAAACCGCGACAACAAATCAAAAATAAACATTGATGAAAGTTGAAGGGAGGAACCAGAGATAGTAGGAGAGTGGAGGAGAAGTGAACATCGACAATCCCTCACCGGAGAATGAAGAAAGGAAAGGGAAGAAAATAAACTCCAGACAACTTCATCACTCGAAGGAATAGGCAGAGAGGGGCAGCCGGGTAATCGCGAACCAAGTGAAACGCCGAATGCTGGGGCCTCGTAGGTCATGGAGATTACGCCGCATTTTTAATTAAACAGATGTGTCGTTCTTTCAAAATGCCAAAACACGCCGCAACGAATGAGCTGCGCCAAACGGAGTCTTAGCATCTAATTTACCCCAGATGGTCCTCTAGAGGTGGCTCAGAAATTTGACATCCCGTTCAGAAGAGATGGTCCTAGGAATGTCGTAAAGTCTTCATGATCTCTCAGAAGTACAAGTCAGCAATGTCAGATGCGTCTGGTGTACTGTGGTAGGTCACGAAATGCGCCATCTTTGAAAAATGGTCTACTGCCACCATTACTAAATCCTTGTTCTGTTGTGTGCGGGGAAGTCCTACCACAAAGTCCATGCTAACGTCGTGCCTCAGTTACCATAAAGGAGTGTACAATCCCGTATGTTGCCTGCAGTTTTTGGCGATATTGCAATTCCTACACTGTCGGATGTGTCGCTCTAAATCTCTCGTCAATCGGGAAGTGCTCTCTCATGAGTATGAGAGCCTTATCCCTGCCGAAATGGCCAGCCAATCTTCCACCGTGGTTCTTCTGAATGATGACCACCCTCATCGAGCATTAGGGAATGCATAATTTATTTTGTTAGAATAAGTAGCCATTTGTTCGGTAGTAGTGCCTGACAGGCTTCTCCCGACATTGCTCCCAAATTTCTTGGAAGTCCTTTGTCTCGTATAAATATTTAATAATCTCAAAACCCACAACGCGAGTCGTCAATAGACGTGATTAGCAGGTGAAGATAGCTTGTGCGTCTGCGATGCGGTTCTGGCTTCCAGCGTTGTGCTTGAGCACAAATTGGAATGAAGCTAAGAATTCCATCCATGCGACGTGTCTCCCTTTTAGTTTGCTTTAATTGCTTAAAAAATTTAAAGCTTTGTGTTTCGTGAATAAGGTGAACTTGTTCGTCAGTAGATAATGACTCCAATGCTCTAGAGCTCTGACAATGACATAAAACCTCTTGGCGTAGGTTGAATATTTTCGCCGTGCATCATTCATTTTTTTGCTAGAAAAAAAACGATGGGGTGACATCCTTCATTGAGTACAACCCCAATCACCCTCGATCTCGAACCACGTTGAAATCTAGTTAGGCTAG